GAGAGTGATTTGAGCAGGCTGTGTGTGTGTGAGTGTTGAAGAAGAGTGATTTGATTGGGCTGTGTGTGTGTGATTATTGTGTGTGAGTGCTTTTGAGGCGCTGTGTGTGTATTGTGTTGTGTGTGTGAGATCAGTGTGAGAGTTGAGCAGACTGTGTATATAATGAGATTACTGTCCTCACAGGCCCTGTAGTGAGAAGTTAGGCAGAGGGCTGCTTTAATGAGCTTAACTAGCTCAGGAGCAGTAGCGGGAGGAACTGGGTGTCAGGAAACCAAAAAAGGCAGAGTGGCCAACAGCTGTCAGTGACACACTAATGTGAACCAATCGTTCTGCTTTTCAGCAGAGAGCGCAGTCTTTTAAATGGTCATTAGCCACGCCCATTAGTGATTTCATGCTCGCTCACTTTCACGTCACATGATTACCTCATGTATACGACACTGTTCAATTGGAAAGCAACGCCATTTGGAATACATCCATCTAGCAGGTAGAAGACTTTAGGCTACCTTTTTAAGCTTGGCGTTACATCACTTTCATTTAGCCTTTTTTAATTTTACTTTGCCTTTGTTCATACTTAATATTTATGTTGAAGTTCCATAAATAATGTTTAAATTCACAATTAAACACAAAACCACCACAAAACTTTGAAGGATGATAAATCTATAGTAGGGCTGATTAGAGTTGAATTGCGTATTTTGATCTGTCATACAAGCCTTGATCAAAAAAAGCACAATTCATGTTGGACAGCATAAACTTGTTTTTCACCCATCAGATATACTGCGATATAATTGAAAACAAATAACAAAGCAAATAACCATTGATTGTGTATACACATAAACTGATAGACGCTGCAGTATTACTGACAGAAGAAAAGCACTTGGGAATAGCACAAATTGTGATATAGTTTCCTAACTCCAGATGAGAAAGTATAGCATAGTATAAAAGTTACGAGGTTAGCGGGACAGTAGCTAGAACAATAATGATTGTGCAAATAATGTAATGTAGGTGTTTTGTTAAGAAAACGTGTGTCATTACAACATGTGTGTACACATGCAACGTTGGGTACACACTGTTTTATCGGATATATTAGACCGCTTTCTATATTTGGAGAATTTTGTGCATATAACCTCTCTGAACTTCCGCAAGGGTCAGATGAGGGAGGACGCGCTCTCAGTGATTATGTCAAATCGAACATATAACTCCAAGTTGACCTGCACCTTTCACGATTATGTATTGTATAAAAATGCACCGCCGACAAGGAGGACGGGATTCAAACCCACACGTGCAGAGCACAATGGATTCGCAGTCCATCACCTTAAGCACTCAGCCACCTTGTCACTGTGTGTGCCTTTATATTTCTGTCTTGTGCATGAGTGTGTATGTGAGTAAACAAACCTTATTACTTTACTTTAAAGACTTATTGGGCAGACAGCAAATAGAGCAGTTCTATGTCCATAATTTCCAAAGTAGCATGTATTCACATTCTTAGGGAAGTTTTGGAGGAATTTTTTACTTGAAATCTATTCCTGCTCATTTTTCTCACTCTTACAGCCACGTAATTTTATCGCCTCAGAATGTTTAAATAAAACGCATGTTGGGAATTTTTACAGCTTAATTTCACACCTCTGAAGCAAATCTGCAAGAAAAGAAACAGTGAACAGCCGAGGAGCGTTAACACGGCTGTTACAGTTTAACAGCGCGGGACGAGTGAAAGGCATGGGGTTTTCTGGCCTGTGTGACTGAAACTAGCTTCAGCCTAGAATAAAGCACTGCTAAGAGGACACATTTCCTCTCTCTTTAAACAGCCGTGCATAAGAGTCACACACTGATCTTAAGAGCTGGACACTGTTGTGATTCGGTGGCTGTGGAGGGGGCACAAAGACAGAGTTATGATCTATTCATGAATATTGCAGGTTAGCAGAGAGCAGTCAGATTAAAGATTCTAACTGGCTTAACCCCTGTTTTCCCCTGAATTACGCCTGGCCAGTCATTGGCTCATTCTTGTGGACCTTTGGCCATAGTTAGTAAAGCTTCAGCTGGGCCCGCTGTACAGCATTGACGGGATATAGCCAATGTTATACATTTGCCCATCGAGCCAAAACACAACTCATTTACTGAATGAACTCCAGTATTAACCAAACGTCACATAAAAAAGAGTATGCATTTTGCAGCCACTGGTCTATGCACATTTTCACTTCTCATTTTTTTAAAATTCATACATCCATCATCCCAGCCTCCCTCCATACATCCACACATCTGTGGGGTCTGCTCCTTCTCATTACCATCAAAATGACATTCATATGTTACCGTAGTTACTGCAAAGCAAGGTTACCATAGTTACAACAATACAAGCTTCTGTTTCTCTTGTGGACTGCTGCTTGGCACCATGACTGTCACTCATGTTGCCAGCTAGCACTAGATGCTGTTTTAAGGGGTTGGAGAGTCATTGTGTATTCATTCCCAAATTGGCTAAAAAAAGACAAAATGGGTTTTATCAGGTTTTGTCCATTCTGTGAATCGCTGTATGATAACCTGTTTATACATGGCACTGTACATAAAAATGTACTGAGTTATTGGTCAGCTGGCAGATGGATGAATGGATGGATGGATGTTTAAAGATCTATGTGTCTGCCCCCATGTAACTGCTCCGAGTCAGTGACTCCATCAGTAACGTCTCAGAGTCAGTGACTCCCTCAGTAACTCTCCGAGTCAGTGACTCCTTCAGTAACGTCTCAGAGTCAGTGACTCACTCAGTAACGTCTCAGACTCAGTAACTCCTCAGTGATTCCTCAGAGTCAGTGACTCCCTCAGTGACTCCTCAGAGTCAGTGACTCCCTCAGTAACGTCTCAGAGTCAGTGGCTCCCTTGTAACTCTTCCGAGTCAGTGACTCCTTCAGTAACGTCTCAGAGTCAGTGACTCCCTCAGTTACGTCTCAGACTCAGTAACTCCTCAGTTACGTCTCAGACTCAGTAACTCCTCAGTAACTCCTCAGAGTCAGTGGCTCCCTCAGTAACTCCTCCGAGTCAGTGGCTCCCTCATAACTCCTCCGAGTCAGTGACTCCCTCAGTAACGCCCCAGACTCAGTGATTCCTCAGAGTCAGTGACTCCCTCAGTAACACCTCAGAGTCAGTGACTCCCTCAGTAACGCCCCAGACTCAGTAACTCCTCAGTGACTCCTCAGAGTCAGTGACTCCCTCAGTAACGCCCCAGACTCAGTGATTCCTCAGAGTCAATGACTCCCTCAGTAACACCTCAGAGTCAGTGACTCCCTCAGTAACACCTCAGAGTCAGTGACTCCCTCAGTAACGCCCCAGACTCAGTGATTCCTCAGAGTCAGTGACTCCCTCAATAACACCTCAGAGTCAGTGACTCCCTCAGTAACACCTCAGAGTCAGTGACTCCCTCAGTAACGCCCCAGACTCAGTGATTCCTCAGAGTCAGTGACTCCCTCAGTAACACCTCAGAGTCAGTGACTCCCTCAGTAATGCCCCAGACTCAGTAACTCCTCAGCGACTCCTCAGAGTCAGTGACTCCCTCCCAGACTAACTCTCCCCCTGTCCTCTCTTTCTTCCTCTGAGCTGAAGTGACTGCTGTGTGACTGGCTGAGGATTCTGCCTGTGCTCTTCAGATCAGGCGTGGGAGAGACAGCAGGAAATAACTACAGTAGTGAAATAACTACACACGATCTGTACTGAAATGACAGCACACGCCCGTACAAAAATGACTGCACATGATCAGTTGTAGTAGCTGCAGGACCACATTAAAAACCCGGTCAGTCATCCAGGTAGCACAGTCTTCCCAGAACCTCTACCCTCCAGCCCAATCTGTGTAGTTTCATCCCCTCCCATCACACTGTATTATATTAATCAAGGAAAATACTGAAGTACATCACCCTGTTTCCACAGCAGGTAAAAGACACCTTTCACAGCTTTGATATCATCACACTGAATGGACAGAAATCAGGGAGAGAGAGAGAGGAGAGAGAGTGACTGAGAGAAGGAGACAGAGAGAGAAAGAGAGCGACATCAAGTGAAACAACGGATGGGTGCCGATGTCTAAGTGTCAGTAAAGGTCAGAATCCGCTCTGGGCCCTTAGTGACCTGTCCCAGTGGGCAATGCATTATGGGACAGAGCCACCATCTGTAGTAGCCCCCTCCCCTCCCCACTTCCAGTACACTTACTGATTAATTATGTATATCTCTGCCCAGGCTGGTGACCATCTGCTAGCGGCCCGAGCCATAATCCCAGGCCTGGGACACCCTGCTGGACCCCTGGGACATGAGGCCACAGGGCCCATTCCCCGACACGCACCGGTCCCGCTGCACCCAAAAAACCTTCCCCTTGCTTCACAGTTTACTGGCTGGTTTTATTCTGTCTCTGTTGGATTAAACGCTGAGACTGGGCTAGGCTCTCTGCACTGAGTTTGACCCCATGCTGGCCGGAATTGCTCCCTGACTGTGTGTCGGCTAAGCTGTGTGTGTATTACACGCTAGCTGGCCCTGGCTGCTCCCTGACTGTGTGTGGGCTAACTGCAGTGTGCAATGCTGCAGCTGTGCTAATGCTAGATGTAATGCTGGCACAATATATTTTAGCTAGCCAGGACTGCTGTCCTTGACAGCATACTGGCTAAACTGCATGTACGCTACACTAACCCTTGTTATTCCTCTTCTTGATAGCATGATGGCTATGCTGCATTAGCTGTTTGCTCGCTGATAGCGTGTAGGCTAAGCTGTGCATGTACGCTATATGCTGGCTGGTCCAGATTGCTGTGTGGATGTTATGCCATGCTAGCTCTAATTGCTTCTTGGTAATGCACCAATTATGCAGTGGAGGGCTCTAACAGCCCCCTGAAAGCACCCTGGCTTAGCTGTGCTATGTGCTAGTTGGCTCTGATTGCTTCCTGATAGCACATTATCTTTGCTGCGGTATAGTCTATGCTGTACTGATCCTGTTGGTTCCCTGATAGCACCCCAGCTAAGCTAGGCTACATGCTAATGACAGAGGAGCAGAAGTGAATAAAAACACAGGGGCCTCCTTACGGTTCTGCTATCAGCTGGAGAGGCCCATCCAGCTGCCCCCTGGGCCATGGAGCCTGTTTAGGTTCATTTATGCATGATTACCTGGGGTCACCTGGGCAATGTTTTCACATGAATTACTGGAGAATCCAGTGGAGCCAGGAGACCCAGAGACCCAGCCCATCAAACTGCACTGAACCAAGCTGATCCAAAACCGTCCTGCAAAGGGGTGTGCGGACAGAAACGGCGGTGTCTTTGAGAAGCGACAAAGCTGTAATGACACAAAAACATGTGGTGTTACTGAGCTTCTGGGCTTGGTGTATCAGCTCTGCCTCCCTGACCGCTGTCCCCCTCAAACAAACCCGCCAGAATCCACCATGAGCACTGCTGAGGTCTGAAACCTCCCACTGAAACACTGGAAGGATTTTGGGATCAAAGTCAGACCTTGAGGACCAAATAAGAGTGCCGCGACTCGCGGCGCGAGAACGATGAGGAACAATGTGCTCAACGGATCATCAGGAAGTTTGAAACGTCAGCTGCTTCCTCTGTGTTGGACAGGCTCCTGGAACATCAAACCGACCAATGCACTGATGGGTGCACAGGGTGGGGGGGGGGGGGGGGGGGGTGAAGGTGCTCCTCTCAGGTTAAGAGAAAATTTCAAACAAGTCCTGAAGGAGAGCACCAAAGCAGTCAACCCAAAGAGTAACAGACAGAAACCTGGGTCCCAGACATGGAAGCATCACTCCAGTCACTAAATGTGGCATTTTCTTGTAGATGCCCGTTTCTGCCCCTCAGAGTGCCTGTGCCCACACTGAAGGCAACAGAGCTGCTCTGACCGCAGATGCACTCAACCTCAGGATGTGCAATAAAAAATAAAACTGTGCCCAGGAACAGGGGGGACCGGAAGCTCCGGAACTACAGTGCAGTTACCGAGCTGAATGCAGGGCTGAATGCAGGGCTGAATGCAGGGCTGAATGCAGGGCTGAATGAATGCAGGGCTGAATGCAGGGCTGAATGCAGGGCTGAATGCAGGGCTGAATGAATGCAGGGCTGAATGCAGGGCTGAATGCAGAGCTGAATGCAGGGCTGAATGCAGGGCTGAATGAATGCAGGGCTGAATGCAGGGCTGAATGCAGGGCTGAATGAATGCAGGGCTGAATGAATGCAGGGCTGAATGCAGGGCTGAATGAATGCAGGGCTGAATGCAGGGCTGAATGCAGAGCTGAATGCAGGGCTGAATGCAGGGCTGAATGAATGCAGGGCTGAATGCAGGGCTGAATGCAGGGCTGAATGAATGCAGGGCTGAATGCAGGGCTGAATG